ATATAAGATAGAAGACATTGATAAAATGTTGGAATAAATTAAGTTCCGGAACAGATTGGCCGTTTATTGCGTCCATTGAAAGATCGAAAACATTGGAATATGGACGCGATTGGAAAAATTGGTTGCTTTTTTATAGCTTGTCTATTTTAAGTTCAGTACGTGGTTTTGAAAAATATGCAAAACACTGGGCACTTCTAGTTGAACCGGTACATATATTAACAAGTGAAACAATTTGAATAGCTGATTTCTTTTTAAAGAGCTGAAAAATCATTAAAAAGATTTGTTGCTAAAACTGAAAAATTTTATGGACTTTTTGTTCATAATAGATATCCCTTTGAATCAGGAAATGGAAAAATGCTGAGAATGATTAAATCTGCAACAAGCGTAATATATCAAATTTGTCGAAGTTTAAAGTAAAAAATTAATATCTGCTCAAATAACTCATTTGCTCAGACAAAATGTGGAAGTCTTATAAATATTGTGGAGTTTGTAGTTAATGAGCGCAATCGAAAAGAATATGTATTATGTAACTTTGTCGAAACAAAAGGTATTTGATGAATGTGAAAAAATTTTGTTAATTGTTAAAATGTATGAATCTCTTAAACAAATTAGAACTGATGTTATTTTTAAAATAGCTGTTACTATCAATACGACATCGAATGATGGTACTCTACAAATTATAAGTGTAGTTCCTAATATGCTCAAATATTAAGTTTATGAAATTCGATAAAGAAATTAAGTGTAGAATTAACAATACAGTCTATATTTGTTGTCTTATTTATTATTGAAAATTATATTGTAAATAAATGATTATTGATGTTTAATAATAAATTTTTATTAATTTTAATTCGATTCCATAGGGAATTCTTAATTTTTTATTTGACTTGAAATATATCCCGATTATATCATGATAATACCTAGATTATTCCACGATTATATCCCAATTCCAGTCCAATTTAACTACGATTTGACACCAATTCGACAAAGTATTTTCGGACATTTATTGGGCACTAATTCGCGTCGTTTTTACACCGATTTTACTCTGATTCAATTAATCCATCGGTGTACGAGGGTGGTCCGATAAGTACTTAGCCTCATCGCTCGATGGCGCCACTCTCGCAAAAGAAATATTCTATCGCGTAGTACAACCTTCTCGATGGTTACTGTTAAGATGTCAGCCGGATCGGAGTTGTAGTTTATTTTTGAGAGCGCGTGAAAGCAAGTGTGTCCGTTGATTTTTGAAAAATGGAAAAAGTGCAGTATCGGTTGGTGATTCGATTCTTGTTTTTGGAAGGGAAATAGCACAGCGAAATCAAAAAGCGCTTGGATGCTGTGTATGGTGACTCTTCTCCTTCGATGGCGACCGTTAAAAATTAGTTTAACGACTTTCAACGTGGTCGTACATCGATTTTTGAAGAGCCACATCCAGATGCTCCGAATACGGCTACCACGGAGGATAACGTGACAAAAATTCAAGATCTCGTATTGGCAGATCGACGATTGAAGGTGCGCGAGATAGCTATAACCGTAGGCATCTCAAAAGACCGCGTGGGTCATGTCCTGCATGAAATTTTGGGCATGAGAAAGCTGTCGGCGCGATGGGTGCCGCGTTTGCTCACTCCGGACAACAAGCGCAACCGTGAGACAACTTCAGAGCAATGTCTGACGCTGTTTAAGAGCAATCCGAAGGAGTTTCTGCGTCGTTTCGTGACAGTCTACGAAACATGGATCCACTGGTATACACCAGAGACCAAGGAACAGTCGAAACAGTGGACTTTACCCGGCGAAAGTGCTCCGACGAAGGCGAAGACTGCCCCATCGGCCGGAAAGGTGATGGCCACCGATTTCTGGGATTCACAAGGTGTGATCTACATCGATTACTTGGAGAGGGACAACACGGTCACAGGGCTGTACTATGCCGAATTATTGGGCCGATTCGACGTCGAATTGCAGAAAAAACGGCCCCATTTGTCGAAGAAAAAAGTGCTCTTCCACCATGACAACGCACCGGCTCACACCTCCGCCGTCACCATGGCCAAATTGGTCGAATTAGGCTACGAACTGCTGCTCCTTCCACCGTATTCTCCAGATTTAGCCCCGTGCGACTTCTTTTTGTTTCCAAACTTGAAAAAGTCACTCGCCGGGCAGAAAGAGCCCAGCCGGGTAAGCATGTGAAAAGTGCCCTTAGACCTTTCGAAAAAGTGACAAAGCCCAATGTTCCGGCTTATAATGAAACCCCCTCTGCCAAATTTTCAGACCCATATTGATCCATGGGGCAAAATGGGACACTATTTTGTGGTTTTAGGTTTTTTGACAATAGCTCGGTTGGTTGTGAAGATACCTAAAAACTGTAAATACAAAAATTGTAGGGTTTTTGAAGAGCTACAAACCTATAAACACCAAATTTTTTTTAGCGCGAAATTCAAATTTTTAAAAGCATTCGAAAATTCCAATTTAACGCCAATTTTGTCCATTCATACCTGTAACTCCGAAAAAAATCTCGAATGTTTCTCATAGATAGGAGTACATGTGTGAATTTTTTCAGATTTTCTTAGGTGGTAGAAGGTACTTTTGGCTTTTGGTAGAAGCTCTTTTTGGTTTCATTCCACGATAAAATCAATAGCGCCATCGTATTCTACGTTAAAAAATACGTCGAAAACATGCATAACACTTTTATCATCAGACCCATTACACCCTAAGAAATCGACGACTAAACTCCCAATCTTAGCCTGCCCACATGTAATACATGGAAAATCGAAGGTCGCACGTTTCATTGTCGATTTTTCATTACGCGGTAGAGCTAACGATGAAAGTATGATACATGTTTTCGACGTATTTTTTAACGTAAACACAATGGTGTAACTGGTTTTATGGTAGGCCTAATCACGAAAACGATAAAAGCGAAAAACTAGTGGAAAGCAGCTGCTTTCCAGTAGTTTTTCGATATTTTTTTGACTATAGCACTTTTCAATTACATTCTACGATAAAACCAATCGCGCCATCGGGTTCTACGTTCAAAAATACATCAGAAACATACATCATACCTTTATTTAGTATCATTATACGACGAGAAATCGACTATTAATCTCTGAAACTCCGTTGAAAGGCTGAACCCAATATTATTATTATTCCTGGCTACATGCATGACTTATGTTTACTACTCGTACCTTGATAATGATAAAAAAATATTATTTCCCTGTTCACGACGAAGTGCTAAATATTTTAGGATGTTCTTTGTGAAAAAAATCTGTAGGATTTTTCATCAGATTTTTGCACTATTTGGTACTGCGGCACTGTTGAATAAACCACGTAGTTTTAAAATCCCTATTACTTACTTTTATTTTGCACCCGAATCTGTCGAAGCTGTAAAGACCAAAAAAGTGTATTTCCTTATTTGGGAGTAAAATCTATGTAGTGTGAAAACATATTTGCTTCAGAATTTATATTTATAAAATCTTTAATTTAAGATGAACTAATAAGCTACATACATAATATAAATAATTATTTACATATCTGAATACTTTATACATTGCGCTCTCTGCTTTATAATCATCCCTCGTGAATAATATAATATCAAAACTCATTGCACGTTACGTACTTTTGCTAAAGGGAAGTAACGTCTATTCAATGTATCTAAACAGTTAAATCTATAAACAAATAAATATCAGTGTTGAACAATCAATCTTCGTCACTGTCGTCGTTGATGACGGGTGATACTTTTTCAACGGCAAAAATAGAGCTCAAGATTTCTGCAGGCTTTACTATTTTGATAAGATATCTACCATGCGAAAGGTAATGAATAACAGCAGCAATGTGAGCACAGCAACCAATAGTGCGGTTACCATTTGCGCAGGGTTCAGGAAATTGGGGTGTGAGGGTCGGGGGTTATAGCATCGCAGGTTAAAGGCTCGAGGGTTGAAGAAATTGGGGTATGAGGGTCGGGGGTTATACCGCAACAGGTTAAAGGGCTCGAGGGTTAAGGAAATTGGGGTGTGAGGGTCGGGGGTTATACCGCAGCAGGTTAAAGGGCTCGAGGGTTAAGGAAATTGGGGTATGTCGGTCAGGGGTTACAGCGTCGCAGGTTATGGGGCTCTAGGGTTAAGGGAATTGAGATTATAGTCATTCTGACGTTAAATTTGGATTCAGTGACCCAAAAAACATATAATTACACTATAACTCCTTTTTCGGAAATTCGCCACTATTTCGTGCTGTAACGAAATCGCTAAATCACTCAAATTCAATCTACGATATCTTGATGGAAAAAAAAGATTTTTTAAATCTGAAAAAAGGGTTTTGAAGGGTAAGAGTAGTACTTTGAGATAGCATTACTCGTTTTTTAAAATAAAATTGGCTTACGACGTAATACTACGCGAAATATAGTGAAAAATCGTGTTTTTTGAACTTTTAGGTTAGGATTTCTCGAATACCTAGGGTGATGGAGCAATTCTGAGGTCAGATTCGGTTTCAGCTCACCAAAAACCTTTGGGAACGTACTGTCTGGTTTCTGGGTTTTCTTCCTTGTCGGCTTGTGTAATTTTGAAAAAGTAAGAGGGGTGCAATTAAAACGAGTAAGGTTTTGAATTTTTTTGCCTTGTTTCTTTATAAAAATATTAAGTATTACTAAAGATATCGCAGTTGCAAAAAACGAAAAAATTATCATAGTTTTTAATTTTTTTTGGGACAAGTAAAGGGGTTCAATTAGAGATATTTCGAATGGTATTTTTTTACACTGTCCATTACACTTTGTTAGCTGGGATAAGGTGGGTTGATTAATCATGTTCGACATTCAAGAAAGTTTCATTGTATATAAAAAATATAATTTTTTTTACTAAATACACTCAAACTCAATTAACGAATGCGAATTTCAAAACTCTTTAACAAATATATGTATGAATTCAATTTCTCCTAGTTTATTTTTATGCTTTTATTATGCCAATATCTATTTCATATTTTTGGTCATGTCTGAAGAATAAAATACTAACCATTAATCATTGAATATTTATTTTCAACTGTTTTTATATTGGATATTCATAGACAAAATATCTGATTTACATGAATAACCAGGTATTAATATAATATTAAATAATAGTCACTTTTTTTATAATACACTAGATAAGTAAGAATGAAAACTGAATTTTTTGTTATTTATTTATTGATATTCAATTCTTACAGATGTAAGACCAATTTAAAGTAAAAATACTTAATCCACATCTTCTTCATCATCATCTTCTTGACTATTGATTTGGAAATAACGCAGTTCATAAATCTCTTTATCTTTAGAAACTACACGAAGCCAATCACGTAGTTTATTTTTCTTTAAATATTTTTTTGTCAAATATTTAAGATACCTGTTAAAAAATAAATTTCTGAATTAATTCTCATTTACATTCCTTACTGATACAATACAAAAGCACATTTTATTTATAGTCATTTCACTATACATTTATTCATCATTTTAGTATGAATAGTACTTTCATCGAAAGATTAAATTAACTTATAATAATTCATGAACAATATGTGAATTAATTTGTGATACTCACCTTTTAGAAAAGTCAGTATCACTGTTTACAGATAGTTTCATCTTATTTCTTTCAATGGACACATTATTGCCAAAATTATTTGTTTTGCCATGAACTTTGATACGTTCTTGTAGATATTTTTCCTGCAATAATCAAATAAAATCTTGTTAATTGAAATGTTGATAATTTATTTTACGAAGAATTGTCAACACGGAAAAATATGAATATAAATTTATTACTATCTAAAAGGAATACTGAGAATGAGCATACATCAATGACCAATAATTTGCTTAAAAGATAAAATTAGGAATATGATAAATAACTATTTATTAAAAAAGGGGACGAACTTAAGAGTACTTTTAGAAGAATTAAGGAAGGAAATACGTTAGAAGTTATATAAGATCAGAGAATTATAAATTAAATGTAAAAATTTTATAAACAAGATATACTTTCAAGTTTATCTGCAGTGAAATAGTTAAAAATTAATAGAATAAAATATGTAACTAAAAATACTGCAAGAATTACAAGTTATAAGAATTGTGAATAGAGAAAGCATAAAGCATAGAGATAGTTCAAAAACTAATAGGCACAAATTAAATGCAGGTATGTAGAAAGGTTAACTAGATAGGTTTTAAAACATACAATATAGTATATGAGAAAATAGAGGATAGTCTGGAGCATATTTTGATATAGACAAGAGCAAGAAGGGCAATAGGAAGGAATTGGGAGAACAGAACAGGAAAGTTGTTAATAAGAATCCAAGTACAAAAGAAAAAATAATTGAAATAATAAAACCAAGATTGGTAAAAAGTAATATGTGACATTATTTTTTTAATATTATATTACCAAATTATATCTATGTTCAAATAATTTTACCATATAATTCAAATCAACTCTACTTCAAAAGTAAAAAGTAAAAAGTAAAAAGTAAAGAACGAATTTGCTTAACATTTTGAACATTTGTAATCTCAAATATCAAGAAACTAAAAATAAAGGCTAAAAGAATACTAAAATATAAATTTTTTTAAGTTCAAGTGATATTAAAGCTGTTTTTTTTAATACTGACTTAATACTCATCAGCATTGTATCATTTAATCTAAAATTAATCGGAAAATTCAATAATACAAGATATACTTACAAAATTGGCAACATCCATGATATTGTCTTCAACTGGATGTGTACAATCAATGGTAAACTTCAATGATACTTTCTTCTTCTGGTTTTTACCACGAAGATGTTGTTTTCTATTAACGTGTGGTTTATTAGGCATATTGGCTTTCCTACTAGTCTGTAGAAAAAATAAAATGATATACAAAGGACATAAAAGTAACATATTAAGTTACATCATTCCAATAACCATATCATTTCAATCATTTCAATAACCCAATAACCTAATTAATTCTAAGTAGGTTACTATAGCCAAATGACAGACCATGCAGAATACACATGTAATTGTACAGTATTTTTTCAAAAACTTTTAGATTTGTTTCTACATTACAAATTTGATGCCAAATTTATAAATATGTACAAAAAATAAATTAGCGAAAATAATATTATTTATGATTGACATGCAACCATCCAGATTAATCTTTAATTATCAAATACATCTCAGACAACTTATATTGCAAATTAAGGGTCTGTTTCCTATAGGTGATTTTTAATCGGACTAAAGGAAAATTTTTTCTTTATATCTATGTAGTAAATATAAAATAAAAATTTTGTCGTGCTAATTTCTTACCAGAACCATATTTGTCAGTTTTTGTACTGAGAAAGAGGATCAGGGTCATAGACAATATATAGAGGAGGAACGGACGTTATCTCCTCTGTGCTAGCTAAATTTTGGGAAAAAAATGCAATACTGAGAGAATGGAAGCTTGTATCTCCGAAGAAGCCTACTACTTACGGCGCCTCTCGCGGCGGTCACCTTCAAACTGAAATTATCTTTGGCATGCCCAAGCGAGTTACCATATCATAATTATTTATATATTTATAAATTATCAATGTATGAAGATATGAATTTCAGCACATACTTTCGGTCGCAATAAGTACTTAAACTGAGGTACTTAAACAAACACCTTTAGGGTTTAATGAATATTTGTGACCTTCAAACCTGTACATGTCCTGCTATGGTAGCTACGCGGATTAAGGCATATATCTTTTTTGACTGCGTTTGGTAATATGGTGGTTTCAATCAAGCCAGTTGGATATTTTTTTACAAATAAATGTAATATTATTATCGAAATCTTTACTTCGATATAATTGAGTAAAAAACTTGATATGATTCACATATTATTTTACCAAGTTAAATTTCAATCACTTTTTAATTACGTAAATTTTACTTTAATAAATTTCTTGACAACATGAAATGTTAGTAATACGATATGTTATACTTATATTCACATTATTTCTTTGCACAAATTAATTGTTAAGAAATTTTTTCTTATCGAATATTTGCTTATGTTACGGATTTTTTAGAATGGTAGAAAGGTTATCGATCAGTATTGAATTGAACTGCGGTCGTTCAAATTTGATGAGAAAATATCGTTCCGTCTATTCGAGGTGAGGGTGCGTGCGCAAGAGCAAGGGAAAACAAATCAATTAACCTGTGTGGATATTCCCTACCCCGTGCCGACCTTTCAATACATACGTATAGTTTACAATGTTACAGAGTCCTTTCCTTGCTTTTTTTATACTTTTTTTTATAACGTAATACTAATATGTAATGTTACACTGTTAAAAATAATATGTAATGTTGTATAATTGTTAAAAAATTACATGAGACATTTATTTAGAGAGGATTTTTAATGTTCATTCAAAAAATATTAACCCAGAATTCTCTCGTCCAATTGTTAAAAAGATATTTAATAAAAATCTGGCTGACAAAGAATTTTTGTTAATATTTTTTCCAATAGTAAAAATATCAATAAAATACTCATCATTTTCTCGTTTCAGAAATATTTTTCTTTTTTCAATAACTACTCGTAGTATACGTACTAATTAAAAAATAAATTAATTATTTCACATTATTCAGTACTTTTGAACAATAAGACGATGGTGCGTGCGTAAAATTTTTTATTACATGACGTATAACGATGTGCATAAGCTATACCCACACACCATTATTTTATCGTTCCAGAGTACTGAATAATAAATCCAAATTACCATATACCAATTGTTTACAGAAACATTATTTAAAAAGTCGATATACAAAATATGAATTTTGTACATACTTCTGTACTCGATAAATAATTAAATTTAACTATTCGAATGTGAGTCCCTACGCCATTCAATGAACGTATACGATATTCAGATATTTTTAAAGGATACTCCGTGCCGGTAGCTATACGTGTTAAAGCACTCGTTCTATTTTGATCCGGAAACAATTTTTTTTCAACTATCTTCATTTACAATCTATTTAACCCTTAGAGTCATACATTTTTCTATTGAATATTTTTATCTTAATTTTCGTATTCGGGGGTTTTTGGGGTCACTGATTACGAATCTGAAGTCGAACTTTATAAATTGTGAAATTAAAAATGACGAACCAATATAGCAGACCACTAGTGTCCATTTTCTATTAGATATGTATTATAGTGGTGATAATGTATATGTATGGGTTTTTGGGATCGCTGATTGTAAATTTGAAGTTGGTTTTTGTAAATTCTGAAAATTCAAAATAGCAGATCCAAATTACAGACCATTAGTGTCCATTTTTTAATAGATTAATTTTATATTGGTTATCATTATGTACTTGATTCACTATCTTGGATTTGTATAATTTCAAATTTTAACTTTAGATTCATAATCAGCGACCCAAAAAAACCCTAAAACCACAGTGGTAACCAAAAATATAGTTTCAAAAGATCTGCGTTATAAAGAATAAAACGTAGAACCGTACGATCTCGCTGTAACTCAACGGGATAAAGAAAAACGACAAGAAAATTATATATACGAGAGTTGTATGAAAAAAATGTTTTTTTCATAAATCTTTTTTATTTTTCAACATTGTCTCATTTTTTGTTTATGCACTATCCAACGCTTCTCTAGTTTGCTAATCCCTTCTAAATAATCGGATTTGTTCAAGTCTGTAAAATAGGCATTCGTTTCTGCAATCACCTTCAGCTTGAATAAAATCTTTTCACCGCTAGCCAATTTTGCATATTAGGGAACAAATAATAGCCGGACGGAGCCAAGTCTGGAGAATAAGGGAGATATGAGACGAGTTGGAATACTATTTCTATCAGTTTTGTGGCCACAACTGGTGAGATATGAGCTGATGCATTGTCGTGATGGAGGACTTTTTTATGGGCCAATCGTGGACGTATTTATTGAAACTTGGTTTTCAAACGATCTAATAACAGTAAATAATATTCATCTGTAATGGTTTTACCTTTTGCTAGATAGTCGATTAAGATTATTTTTTACGAATCCCAAAAGACAGTTGCCATAGCCTTCCGGGACGAAGAAACGGTCTTTGCCTTTTTTGATGTAGATTCCTCCTTGACAACTTATTGCTTAGACTGTTCTTTAGTCTCAGGTGTGAAGTGATGTATTCATGTTTCATCCACAGTGACGAAACGACGCTAGTCTTGCGGATTTCGCTAGAACAGCTGCAATCCGTCCTTGCACTACGTTACGTGATCTCGTTTTTGGTCAATCGTGAGCAATCACGGCATCACCTAGCGAATAGATTTTTCATGTCCAAATTTTGGTGCCCGTATAATTTAAGATATTATGTACCCGTTTGCTCGAGATACCTACAGCACTAGCAATATCACGCACCTTTACTTTTCTGTCAGCCATCATCATACCATGGATTTTATTAATAATTTCTGCAGTGGTGACCTCAACAAAGCATTTAGATCATTCAGTGTCTTTGGGCTCACATGGCTTCTTTCAAAATGTTGAAACCCCTTATAAACCATTCTGATCGAAAGTGCACAATCACCATAATGTTTATCAAGTATCTATTTAGTTTTCTGAGACGTTTTGCTTTTAGTAAAGTAATGTTTAATCAACACACGACTTTTTTTGTCCATTTTTTAACACCACTCGATTTCTTTGATTCAAACGAATGTTAAACTGGCTGAAATTTGTGTGTGCTCTTTCAAGATATACTATTAACTGAAAATAACCTCGATAAGCACTAGTAGCGCCATTTCTCTGTCTTTGCACGGGCTTTTCAAACAAGCCTCGTACATACTTATTACCGGATTTTATGTACTTCCCTTTGATTACGTATAAGGTACAGTGCGCTAAATCGGGTGGGTAAATCCGATCCTCCTCTATGTGTAAAACGGTAAAACGGAGCGATTTCACATTAGCATTGCCATATAGAGGATTCGAAATAACAAAAATGTTACCTTGACAACTTTATAACATTTGACATTAAGTCGTTCAAGACAACAAATGTGTTTTCCATTTTTTCAATTTAACTTTTGTGCAAATTTTATCACTACTTTTACCTTATTAAATAAAACGATCGCAAAGAACGGTTAGTGATTTTTGTAGTGCATTTAATGACCTATTCAGTGCATGTATCTTTTTTATTGAAAATTTCATGTAAATTGTTTCTATGTGTATTAATGAAAATGGCATGGTGAGGTGAATCCGCGCATATTTTTTATGTTTTATATGTATGACATTATTTATTTATGTAAACAAAGTGAATTTTTGTTTGTTTTTAGGAAAATGGTACAAAATTACATACGAAAAACTACAAAACGCAATTAAAATCATATTTGCTAAGCAGTTGCTGCAATGGAAATGGAATGTTATTTTTTGAATAAATTTTTAAAATTTTTTAAAATCGTTTACATATAACTATTTTTGTGCAAAATCAGTCAAAATTTGGGGGTCGGATTTACCCTAGCATTTTTGAAAAATGACTTTTTTTTGAAAATACAGATATCTTGAAAACTATTGATGGTATAAAATATACTTTGCAAAAAGTTGCTCCTTTATATTACCATTAATTTAACGGATGTAATGATAAGATCCAACCTCGGGAAAGTATTTTATAGGCAAGAGAAATTATTAGATTGGATTTATCCCACCTTAGCCTAGAGAGTTGTTAATTACAGACAAAAATCGATATACGAGGTGTGTTCAAAAAGTAAGGTGAATTTTTATTTTTATGAAAAAATATTTATTTATTCATTAATATTTATATTGTTCCCTTCAAAGTAATCCCCCTCAGATATAATACACTTGTACCGTTTTTTCAAATCCTCGAACCACTTCTGGTAAGCACTTTCTGGTATAGCCTTCCAGCGATTTTTCTTTATTTCCTTAATCGTTCCAAACCTTCGTCCTTTCATGGATTTCTTGAGTTTTGGGAACAGGAAAAAGTCGCAGGAGGCCGACGAATATGGTGCCTGAGGCATGATTGTGGTTTTGTTTTTAGCCAAAAAGTTCGACACAAGCAACGATGAGTGAGCAGGTGCATTATCGTGATGCAGAATCCATGAATTGTTTTCCCACAATTTCGAACGTTTTTTTCGTAGTGCTTCTCACAAACGGCGTATAACTTCAAGTTAATACTCTTTATTGGCCGTATGACCTTGTGGTAAGAACTTTTGATGTACTACGCCACGATAATCAAAGAAAACAGTGAACAAACATTGACATTTGATCGAACTTAACGTGCTTTTTTCGGTCTTAGCTCTTCTGGAGTCTTCCATTTGGACCATTGGGCTTTAATTTCGACGTCACAATCATAAACCCATGATTTGTCATGAGTTATGACTCTTTTAAGCATATCAAGATCATCATTAAAATTAAGAAGTTTCGGAACAAATTTTCCTGCTACACGTTTCATGCCCAAAACTTCGGAAAACTTTGCATGGCACGAGCCAACAGAGATGCTAACGTCTTC